AAAAAAGAAAAGTATGTATCAGAGCAATCATAGTGATTGCCTTTGAATGGCTGGGTTATTGGTGACTTTAATTTCTTTGTACTTTTTTTATGGGGGTGTGGGTACTGGAAATTGAACTCAGGGGCACTCAACCCCAGCCCTATTTTTGTATTTTATTTAGAGACAGGGTCTCACCAAGTTGTTTAGCACCTCGCTTTTGCTGAGGCTGTCTTTGAACTTGTGATCCTCCTGCCTCAGCTTCCCAAGCCATTGGGATTACAGGTGTGCACCATAGAGTGACCCTCAATCCCCACCCCCACAGTAGCTTGGATTACAAGTATGTACCACTACCCCCTGGCTTCTATTCCTTAACATTTGATTTTAAAATGTTGAATGCACACAGAATGTCCASTTTCTTTCAAAAAAATTTCTCTTTTGAGTTTTTCAGAGTTATACCTCTGACCTGTTCCTCCATCTATATGTATATAATACTTGAAAACTTGAAAGTAGACAGGCCTGTGTAGTAATAGAGGAATTCAAGGCAGGGGGCTGTTTCCCTAATTCTTCTGCCAGAACTGTAATGAAAAAGATTAGAACCTGGGTAAGCCTAGAATGCATGAGACCCTGGGTTTGTTCCCCAGTCCTGAGGAAGGTGGGTGGGGACATTGTTAAGTCCACCCATCAGATGTGTTTCCTAAGAGGCTCTGAAGAAGTTTATCAGGAATGTGCCAAAAGAGCTCTGCAAAGCAGGGCTTTTACTCTTTATCACTGATTCTTGTTCTCTCCTCAGCCCTGAGTACTCCCTCTTTGTGGGGGACCTAACCCCAGATGTGGATGATGGCATGCTGTATGAATTCTTCGTCAAAGTATACCCCTCCTGTCGGGGAGGCAAGGTGGTTTTGGACCAGACAGGCGTGTCTAAGTAAGGCTTTATCTGTAACTGATTCTGTTTTGAAATTCTCCTCTGGGGCAAGTGTTAGCATGTTGCTTCAGAGCAGAGGCTCTGGAGCCAAATTGGTTTGAATCCTAGCTCCAATACTGGCGAGGGACTATGAAGTAAAAAGCAAGCCTCTGCCCGTATTTTCTTGTCTGTAAAGTGGGGCTAATAGTATCTCTTATAGAACTGTTATAAGGATAACTAATAAAGGATATAAGTAAGTCATATAGGAAATACTCTATGGTTGTTTGCTGTTGTATTTATTATTTTTACTGAGCCTTTCAGTGTAGTTAGAAGTTTTCACTTCAGAAAGTGAAAAACAGGGGCTGGGGATGTGGCTCAAG